TAAACAAGTTCATCTTTTTAAGCCACGTTCATTCGCCATTAGGCTCTTGATCGTACAATCTTCTGTGTGGCTCCGGTGCGTAAACTCTTGGAACTATATCTGGAAAAGAGGGAAGAAAGGTACATCACATTAGTGCGGGAGTTTCAAGTCTGTGCGGAACGTTACATACGTCCCCCTCGCAACGAGGCGCTGTCCTCAGCGCTATCTAAGACGTTTTTGGCGTTCTTCAGTCGGTTGACGTGGACGACAACTGACCACTGGGGTCGCTGTGGTAGGGTGAGGCGGTAGAGAACGTCGGACAACACCTGCTCTACAAGGTAGGGACCCTTCCATGCTCTGTGGAGCTTTGCTGGGACACCTGCCGGAGGTGCCGGTTCACTCAACCAAACGCGATCACCGGGTAAGAACGTTCTTTTGTTTCGCGCGCCGATCGAATTAGCTCTTCTGGTGTCGTTGAGCACTCTGCAGATGTTATCGCGCCAAGTGGTGGCCGAACGTGAGGTTGGCCCGCATGCGACGTACGTGGGGTGAANGTCGGGGGCCGCATGGGGTAGTAGCGCATCGGATGGTAATCGCATTTCACGCCCCGTAACCATACAATGTGGAGTCTGGCCGGTTGATGATTGAACAGTCGCCCTGTAAGCTAGCAAGCAGCGTGGCAGACATGTATCCCATTGATCGACCGTCTCGTGGTTCGTGAACGCCTTCAGCAGACCCTTCAGCGTTCGGTTAGTGCGTTCTACGAGGCCGTTACCTTCTGGATGATAGGGGGTGGTTCTGGTTTTCTTAATTCCTAAGAATATGGCACATCTCCCGGAACAGCATGCTTTCGAAATTCGACCCTTGGTCAGTGTGCAATTGATATGGAACACCCCAGCGAGCGAACCACTCTGTGAAAACGGTTTTGGCTACCGTCCAAGCATCTGGTTTTGGAATCGGCGCTGCTTCGCACCATTTGGTGAAATAGTCCACCATCACCAGAATGTACCGATTTCCTGACCTCGTTGCGGGAAGCGGTCCAACTAAGTCAACGCCCAGTATTTCATTGGGAAATCCTGCTCTCACCGTCTGTAACGGAGCTCGTGCTGTTGGGGTAGGGTTTTTTAACTGGCCACATTCGGTGCAGGCTGAACAGAAATTGGCAATATCTCGCCTCATATGAGTCCACCAAAACCGCCTCCTTGCAGCATCCTCTAGTTTGTTTTGGCCCGCGTGCCCCAGCTCCTCATGAAGACGCTTTAACACCTGGTTGACGGCCGTAACTGGGACCACAATGCGCCGGAGGTAATCTTGATTTTTCTGGTAATACAGCACCCCGCCAACGACCTTCANAGCAAGCAGCGTGACAGACATGTATCCCACTGATCGACCGTCTTGTGGTTCGTGAACGCCTTCGGCAGACCCTTCAGCATTCGGTTAGTGCGTTCTACGAGGCCGTTTCCTTCCGGATGATAGGGGGTGGTTCTAGTTTTTTTATTCCTTAGATATGGCACATCTCCCGGAACAGCATGCTTTCGAAATTCGACCCTTGGTCAGTGTGCAATTGATATGGAACACCCCAGCGAGCGAACCACTCTGTGAAAACGGTTTTGGCTACCGTCCAAGCATCTGGTTTTGGAATCGGCGCTGCTTCGCACCATTTGGTGAAATAGTCCACCATCACCAGAATGTACCGATTTCCTGACCTCGTTGCGGGAAGCGGTCCAACTAAGTCAACGCCCAGTATTTCATTGGGAAATCCTGCTCTCACCGTCTGTAACGGAGCTCGTGCTGTTGGGGTAGGGTTTTTTAACTGGCCACATTCGGTGCAGGCTGAACAGAAATTGGCAATATCTCGCCTCATATGAGTCCACCAAAACCGCCTCCTTGCAGCATCCTCTAGTTTGTTTTGGCCCGCGTGCCCCAGCTCCTCATGAAGACGCTTTAACACCTGGTTGACGGCCGTAACTGGGACCACAATGCGCCGGAGGTAATCTTGATTTTTCTGGTAATACAGCACCCCGCCAACGACCTTCAGTTGAGACCATAACGCCCAAAGGCAGCGCGTATTGTAGCTCGAGCCAGCCATTTCTTGTGACGAGGGACGTGGCAACCCTTTCGTTAACCGGTCATGTAGGAGCTCCACTTCAGGATCTGCTGTTTGAAGTTCGGTCCAGTTATAAGAGTCTGGTGCATGCAAGCTTATTGCCATTACAGTACATGTTGGACAGTCGCCATGATCGCGGATAGGACGGCGAGACAGAGCGTCAGCGTTGCCGTGTTTATTTCCTGCTCGATGCTGGCATTCAAATTCGTATTCGCGGAGCATCTCCTGCCAGCGCGCCAATTGACCTTCCGGGTCTCGGAACTTTTGTAACCAGAGTAAGGACTTGTGGTCCGTGCGCAAGAGGAACGTTCGTCCCAAGAGATAAGGTCGAAAGTGCTTAACGAAATGGACAACAGCAAGCATCTCCTTCCTAGTGGTGCAGTAATTTCGCTCACGTTGGGACAGACTTCGGCTGGCGTAGGCGATGACGCGCTCCGTGTTATCGGGCATTCGTTGAGACAGAACAGCACCAATAGCCGAGTCACTGGCGTCAGTATCAAGAATGAAGCTACCTGAAGTTGACGAACAGTCTGGGTAAGCTAGGATCGGTGGCGAACACAGACGCTTGCGTAGGTCGATGAAAGCGTTATCCTCCACTGTTGTCCATATAAACTGGGCATGTTTCTTTAAAAGCTCCGTCAGAGGAGAGGCAATCCGTGCGAAGTCCTTTATAAAGCGGCGGTAGTAGGATGCAAGACCCAGGAAACTTCGTAGCTCATCAGCAGATGGTGTTGGCCAGGATCAAACTTGTTCTATTTTGGTTGGGTCACACTGAACACCTTGTGCGGAAATAACATGTCCCAGAAAATTAACCTCTGGTTGCAGAATTTTACACTTCCCGAACTTGAGCTTTAGTCCCATTTTACGAAATCGTTCGAGGACGGAGCGAAGGTTGTCGTTGTGTTCTGACAGTGTCTTCCCGTAAACAACAATATCGTCCAGATACACTACACATTTGTGAGGAATAAGTCCGCGCAGAGTCACATGCATGAGGCGTTGAAATGTGGCTGGTGCATTTGTCAGTCCGAAGGGCATCGTCTCAAACTCGTAAAGTCCCGTGGGAATAACAAACGCTGTTTTGCACCTGTCTTCGGGATGGACCTCGACTTGCCAGTAACCGGAGGCTAAATCCAATGTGCTGAAGTAGCGTGCTCCCCCCACTGCGTCCAGGAGCTGATCGATTCGTGGAAGCGGAAAATGGTCTTTTCTAGTAACCGCATTTAATCGACGATAGTCAACACAAAGTCGGAGTGCCCCGTCACGTATTTTTACCAGAACTATGGGGATGCCCAAGGGGAATTCGACGGTTTGATCACTCCTTGTTTCTGCATTGACTCGACCAACTCTTCCAACTGCTTTTGGTAATGCACGGGAACCCGTCGTGGCGCCGACCGTAGCGGGTAGGCGTTGCCAGTGTCAATTCGATGTTGCACCTGCCTGGTCCGCCCGATTTCAGTTTCCGTCCAGGCAAATGTGTCATTAAATTCATTTAGCAGTTCCTTTAGTTCACTGTAACTAGGATCAGATGATGATGGTGGCAGGAGAGACGAAGAATCGGGAACACCCGCAAAATGGGAAGATCTGTCTCCGCAGAGGTATGGATCACAGAACGGTACATAATCCTCGTCTACGGTCAGCCGTCGTC